ATTCAATCTGCGGCCTGTTGGAAATATACATGTTTGTTTCTCTTTTCTTTCCCGTTTTTGTTGTCTCTGAATCCTACCGACAACAAAGACCGTGCCCACATGCTGTAGCGCCATACGAAGCCAAAGGGAATATGCTAATTTTAATTAGCCAAAAATTTACATATGCTACGCACACTAGTCAAACAAAATGCACACACGAATACGTGCTTAAGCACTTAAGTAGATATCCTGTCGCAGGACTTTCACTACAGTTCTGACAGCACCAGAACAAAGTTTCGACATGTCGCAATTTAGCCAATTATCATTATTATTATTGAGCAGGCGTGTGCGCCCATGACCTAATCCCACAGCGCATTAAATTCATTCAAAATATTTTGAATCGAATTTAGACATTAATAGAATAGTGTTAATTGCATCAAGCTGGCTTTATAAACCTAATCGCATATACTTTTTGCATAGGGCTTAATAATAATTATTTTGTGCGAAAGTTGATAATAGGGAATATTCAATTTAAAAATCCTTAAATAAAGAAAGGGCAAACTTTTTATACAATTAATTATTTTAAAAATCTATTTAAAGTGTTACCACATTTCAAACTTGTATTATATAATAAAAGGTACATTAAAAAGAAATGTTTAATAAATGCATGCAGTGAAGTGCAATAGAAAAATAATCATATATATTGCAGTAAATTGGCAACTGACAACTTTTAATCAATTAAAACGAGTAAAAAATGCTACAAAAAATGTTTAATTAATTGACAAATTGATTGTAAATATTTTCCAGTAAATAAATATCACTATAAAAGTGACCAATAAAATAATTAAAAATAAATAAATTAAGATATTAAATTCAGAATAGCTCGCTGAGAACTCTTTTGAAATTTCATCAAAAATACCGTCTTAGCCTTCTGCATGCAATAAGCGTTTAGTGCTAACACAACAAGTTCGACTGCTTTTAATTTTGCAAATAATTTTAACAAACATCTGCTATGTATATTATTAAAAAACAAGTAACAATAGCAAAAACAAGGTAATGATTGAGAAAGATTTCCAACTAGACATTTACGATATCTTTTTTTAGCTCTTTTCCAACTGTGTTATTGGCCATAGCTTGATCAGCTTTGGCTCGAATAGCTTACATATGAACCAAGCATAATTCCCATAATACTGCTACGAACTACATATATCTGTACTTCAAAATCAAAAGCACTTACTACTAGGTCAAAATAGTCCTTTAAGTTCTTTGATCACAAAGCAGAAGAAGTAGAAAAAAGGAACTGCTTCAAATAAGCCAGCTTATGCAAAAGCTAAAGTAATCACGACTTGAATCTTAAAAGAGACCAAAAATTCAAAATTGCTTTTCTGAAGGACCTTTGGCGTGAATGGAAAGTTGGTTTGGGGCACTCGCAACCCTCCAGACTGCAATGGGTATGCCCTTATTTTTCGGCTTGAGCTCTGTGTAAACGCTGCTAAAAGTCACATTGCATTCGAATGGAAAAAGCACAGAGTGTACGAACCCCAAAAGCCTTATTGTTTTCTGGTTTTTATCTACTCCAAGCCGTTATTTCACTTTTCTTGCAGCGTCTGAGGCTAAGGCAAGGCGATTATTGTTGCAAACTTGGTTGACAATTTGCGTCAAGCTGCAGGCAAAACTTGCCAGTCCAACTGACGGGCAAGCAGACCAAAAAAAAAAAAAAAAAAAAAGAGGAAGAAAAAAAAACACAAAACAGTCCAAGTATAGTAGATGAAATGAAGCTGCAGGCAGCGAGCACCAGGCACCAGGCTGGGTAATAAGGCATCGGACAAGCAAAAAGTGTACTGAAAATAAACAGTCGCATAGTCGGATAGTTGGATGGTCGCATGGTCGCATGCTCGGATAGTTGTCTTCGAGTTGAATGCTGTAGAGTTTGTTAGCTGTCTGGACTGTGCGTGTATTGTGTTCTGGCGAGCTCAAACTTTTACCATGCTATAAAGACTTTGCATTTTATATACCCTGTAGCCGTTGAAATCGACTAAAGAAGAACGTATATTGCGGATGTAGGTACATATATTACAACCAAGTACAAGATCTGTGGTGCGGTCTACGGCTTGCTGTGCGTGCATCCCGCTTTACACATCAATGAGCAGATAATTGGGTTCAAAGTTTGGTTTCATCTATTTCAATAATATATACATATTTCAAAAATTATGTATTTAAGCATATGAATAATATACAATCGTTAGGGCCCCCAAGTGATTTTTGCTGTTGGTCAGAGTCTGGTTCAAAAGTTTAACATTTAAAGCCAAACCAATTTTGAAAAAGTTATTTTTCGATTCGGGCTAGGATTCAGCCTATTTTGAGCACTTGACGAAACACAGCCGCAGTATTTGTATATACATTTAAATGCATTTTGATGTTTTCCCCAATATTCGATGTTTTAATGGAAGCACAACAATTCGAGGTTTGGCACAGGGTACATTCTAGTCTGGCGCTCTCAAGCTTGAGGTTTCGCTAACTTTTCTTTTTACTTATTAATGCTATATTTAAGTTGAATAATTTTTGTTACTTTGCTGCGGCTTTAGAATTAAATGCGCTTCGCCTGTGGCGGGTCAACGACAGCGAGTATGGCCGAAAGGCGGTCGGCGGAAATTGTATATCCGTTAGAAAATTATCAATTTATGGTAAAATGAGCACTGATTGCAAATGCGCACGATATGCTGGCATGCGACAGGAATTGAAAAGTGCCATGCTTTGTGGCATTGCTAAATTGAAAATGAATCGAAATGAAAACCAAACCAAACCAAACCGATGCGAAGCACTGGAATGTCGCAGCCAAGGCGACAGTCAACAAGCAGCTGGCAAGGGGGGCCATAATGAGCAAGTCAATATCATGGACAGCATGGCACAGCAAAATACAGACATATACTGCATATACACGCCCACACACGCCCACCCACACACACTAGCACCCACACAGCAGCAGCAGCATCAAGCAATCGATGAGGTCCTGAGCGCACTCAAGTCCATGCGGCTTGGCTGCGTCTTGCCTCATGCAGCGTCGTGCGATAAAAAGCAGATTGCAATTTGTTTTACTGATTTCCATGCTTTTGGCCTTATTTGCTCGACGGAAACTTTCATTAACATCAAACAGCTACAGCTACTGCTATAGCTATAGCTGTAGCTATAGCTGTGGGCACAACAGGAACAGGGCACAGTCCAAAGGAATATTCAAACAACTCGGAGCAGCCGCATCTTGTAATAAACACTTTCAGTAATGAACACATACATAACACATGATATTCCTGCAAATGGCATGATTAAGTAGCAGCGGCCATTGTTCATTAATGCAATTAGCTATAATTAATAAAGCTCGAGCACGATGTAAATTGCACTGCATCAGAAACGATCTCAAGCTATTAAATACTGAATATACCAAAGAAGCAAGTTTTTTACCAGAGTAAAGTTTGGTAAATTAAATAGGTTTAAAGCTTTGTAAGCGGGTTTTATTAAAAGGAGCTTACGCATAGCGGGGAAATAAAAAGATTTTTAAAGCATTCTAGTTCCAAATACCTCAAGCATTTATATAGAATATTATAAAATTAGATGGAAAAAACGTTTTTTGAGCAATAGTTTTAAACAAGAATAATAATAATAGACTAAAAACTTAAAGCGTATGAAAACAGTAAAAACGTGAGTAGCTTACAATATCAACTATATAAACTAAGTGAGCACAATTGTATGAACCCTTTGTCTTGAAGCTTTTTTAAAGCTCTCATTCATAACTGTTTAAGCTAAGAGAGCAAAATAAATCTTTGTTGTTGAGCTCTTAAGTGGATCCTCTACCATTTATGTGCTTTTTGAACCATTTCTATAATGAACTTAGTTGAAACTGCACTTTACGGCTGGATGCCATTCCGTCATTGCCAGTCGACAGTGGAAACCGCAAGCACATCTAATTGGCCACAAGTTGATGTGCAAACATTTGCCACCTCAAAATTTGTGTAGGCAAACAGTTAAGGGAATCTGAACAATTTTATAAAATATGCACAGCGAGTGCAACCAATTACTAGGGCAAATAATGGCCCGAAATGAGTTTAAAGTATCTCACACGCTCGCTTAGCAAACCGCAAGCATTCACAAACTATGCTCTAACATTAACATTTACACTCGGCATCGGGCATAACAAAAGTCCTCGCACAAACAATAAATTTATGGGATCCCCAGCTTGACCCCTGAAACCCCTGCCACGCCACCTGATGCCTGACCCCTATGAAAGAAAGATGTCGAAATTGTGTAACTTTGTTTGTAAGTAATTTTAACAAATTTGCGAGACATTTGTGGCCTTTTGTGCAAATATTTAACCTATTTTGGGCACAACACGGCTGCCGTCCACATTATTCTGTTTGGCCCTTTGTTGTATATTGTGTGTGTGGGTGTGTGTTTGTCTCGACTTTTTGCGGTCAAAAAGGCCAATTAACTTAAATAATTAGCCAAAGTTTCTACAGTTGCGATAAAGTTGTTGTCCAAATTGGCCCTGGTTCCGGTCGAGCTGGCATTTCAGCACTAATGGCCACAAATTTCAATAAAATTTCATTGTTCTGCTGAGTTATACTGTGCTGCCAATTCAAAACTCAGTAAACATTGACGATTTTTTTTTAAAAAATACCAAGTATACTTTTCGATTGTTTCTAATAAATATAACTCAATTGTAATTCGAACAAGTCAGAAGTGGCATCATAATGGGCAGCAAAACCTCGAAAACAGTCAAAAGTATTAAAAATGAAAAATCGGACGACGATAAGTATAAGGATACGCACATTATTTTTCGCTTCGTCTATTGGGCAATTGTATTCATCGTGCTTGGCATGCTCGTTACGGGCCTCTACTACACACTCAAATCTGATTTTGGACAATGCTCATCGCATGATGTTAGATGCTATTGAAGGCTTTTGCATTACGAGGTCAGTAAGGCATCCACTTTTAAAAACCTGGCCCAATTCTTGTAATTATAATTTAGTTATTCTTGCAATGGACAATATTGTGCGCACTAAACGTCAACGAAGAAACCACTATATTTACTGGGCGGTAGTCATGTGTCTGTTTATTTTATTCATAATTATGTTATTTTTCTTTATGGATCAAAAACCCGTATACTGCTCAGACTATGAAGTCCTTTGCATAGAACACGTAAATCCCATGTTTTAAGAATTTGAGAATATTTATAATTATGTACAAATTTGCAGGAACAATAATTTACAAAATTTTATACATTCTTAAAGACATGCTGCTTGGGACTGCCTGAGGTAAGTGAGGCGTATTAACTATTAATGTATTAACCCTTTTTTGTATTTTTAATCGTTTGAATAGTTCAAATTGATCTGAGTTAATGATCACATTTAAACATATGTGGCTTTTTGTGGTAAGTTTTAAAATATTACGTGTACGCCATGGTAAATCTTCTATAATTTTTTCTTTTCATTGCAGAGTTTGTTTCAGAGGAAATGCTTAACAAAAAATTAATATAATACTTACTTTTTACTTTTAGCGACCTGCCTGAGAAAACTGCGCCATTTGCAGACAATGTGCTCGATGTTTACACATAATTAAGACAATTTGCTGATTGGCTGCCAAAAGTTGAGCACATGCTTTGAGAACTTGCTTAAACAGACGCCAGTTCAAATTACTCAACTCTTCAAAAAAAAAAAAAAAACAAACTGCCTGCTCCATTAATACGAAATATATTCACATGATTTTTAAAAATTGTTCACACATATAGGCCGCCAGCACAGTGCCCGTTAGCAGTTGCCTGACATCGAATAAAATATGAAACCTGGTTTTTTCGTCTACCTTAGCATCACATATAATATAGCATATTTTATTGGGTTAGTTTAACTTTGGCTAAAGGAAAAAAATATTGTTGACCTACTCCACGCATATTGAATGTTGAAAAAGCAGCTTTTGAAATTTATTGAAGCGCTGCCTTTTATGCAGCTCGCTCGTTGAATTGGCGATGCGCATTCATGAATACCCGAAGAGTACAGTTTATGGCTGAATGAGTGTGAAGAAAGCGCATCGAAGCCATATACATATATATATATAAATAAATAAATATATATATATATATATATGTTTTACAGGAGGATTAAAGCTACAGCAAGCTACAGCCTCTATATTAATTAAGATTTTTACTTGGATTTGATGGGGTTTAATTGCTGCTACACCCTGTACACGTGAATGAAATCGAAAGGCAACAAAAGACAGCCTTTTTTATATAAATAACATATATATCCTCGATCAGCCTTAAAATCTTGACTGTATTTTGATATTAAAGCATAAGCCTAAGGCCTTGATGCGCTGTAAATAATCGCAATCCGTACACTTGACAGATACAGGGTATACTTAAGCCATGCACTTTGAGCACATACCCTTTGCCGTTTTTTGCTGCTTTTGTTTTGTATGTTTTTATGCCCTGCCCAACAATAATGTTTTCACAGTCAACGCGTGAGTCACTTGTGGCCAAAAGTTTATCCAGACACACCCACACGCACACACACACACACAAGCAAGTACACATACGCACATATATACAATAAAGTTGTAAATGCAAACAACAAACTGCATACTAATGATGTCTCTGTTGTGGTCTGCACTTCTGCGCTGTTAGCCCGCATAATTGGACCCGGCTGTGAATGTATGTTATGTATGTGTGTGTATTATGTGTGCATGTATGTATTCCTTGCTGTTTATCGTATGATTTAAAACATGAAAGCGAACAATTCACAAGGCTCTTTGGCTTAAATATGCGTTTAATTTACAAATCTAACGGCCGCAAAGTAATTCTTGTATAAGCTTAAATTTAAGACCAAATGACACTTGTCAAATGTACAGCGCTTAAAAAAGCTTGGATTAATCCAAATAATAATATGAGATAAGTAAATGTTTTTATTTAATAGTAGAGAATTTAATGCTTACAGACCTATTTAAAACACTTTATGAGTAAAAGCTCTTTTACAGCTTTAATGTGTTTTTTAAGTAATTCAAGTGCAACTTAAATTGATTGCAGTTTCTCTGCTCAAGCATTCCCTTTGACATGATTAATCTAATATTAAATGCGCCTATATCACTCGGTGTCGTTGGCCACAATTTCAAGATCAGGGCTAAGCGTTGAGTGCATGAAACTCGAAAGGAACGTCACGTCAGGAATGAACTGATGAAAATATATGTGTGTTTTTATAACAAACTCTCATTGTTATTTCTTGGCTGTTGCTGACATTTTGCTGCACAGCAGGTGAAAAATAAATAAACTTTTAAATTTCTAACGTAGATTTATTGCCAGCGCTTGGCTAAAGTTTGACATGAGTTAGCATTGCGGTGGCTTCTAGCCACACACCCGAACACACACGCACACAATAAGCACTCGAGACTAATTGTAGTCGAGCTGTGTAAATTGCGTTATGATTATTTGTAGCGAAACTTCATGTACCGTACAACAAGTAGCTTGTGGCTTGAAGACAGTAATTGGCATCCTAATTATTTTTTAATTGGGAAATGTACATTTCTTGCGCATGCATCAATTGGCTAAGATAAAAGCATTATCGATGCTCAGCTGTAAAATTTAAGGAGTCCTTTTAAGCCTGTCCAAGACACAAGAGAATACCCTGTGAGAAGGAACATACGGTAAGGCTCAGCTGCAATCCAAATTTAATCCAATGCTACGCCTCTTTGGGCCTTTAACGTAAACCTATTTAATATCTCTTGAAGAAGCGCTAGATGGATATTAAGCTCAACATAATCAATACATACATATTCATTGTATATTTATGTATTAAACGGACAATAACATGGATAAGGCATGTCCAAGGCTGAGGCTAGCAAAATCATAGGGCTTCAATAGGCATAGTCTGTCAATTGTAAAGTCTTGAGGACATTCGGGTCAAAGGGACGGTCGCATTAGAATAGGATTTTCCAAGAATATTGGAACATAGTCGCTTGTTAAGAGAATGAGAAAGGCTGAGCATGATGGACAAGTCAAGTATAATTTTGGGCATGTCCTTGGACATCTCATAAGTCTTATAAATAAAATCGTGCAGTTTATTAAACTCCATTACACTCGTTATATATTTCACATATAAATTATAAGAATTAAGTCAGTTTCAGCTCAAATACACACACGAAACACCCACACATCTCCACATACACACAAGCCATAAGACATAAAATCTATCTGCTGTCAATTACAAATTTGTCTGCGCATAATTGCAGGAAGCTGTGATAAGCAGTCAATTCAGCTCACTCCGCAGATCCGCTCAGTAACTGTCTGATAATTGCAAGCGCAAAGGAATGCAGCTAACGAGTTTGGCCAAATAGACCGCCAGAGCACACGCTGCGTATGAGTAATATGAACTTATCAGAATTTACATAATTGAACTTTCCGACCGCCTTTCGACTGCCGCACATACATGTTGTTTTGTTGTTAGTATACAATAACAATAATACAGCTACGAGCAGCTCTCCCACTGACTGACTACAGTAAATACTGCCTGAGCAGCAAGCACAGCTAAGCGGCTTACTTGCTGGTTGTTGTGGGACGCAAAATAGTTGCTGTCTATGTGGCGCAATTCCATTGTAACTTGACTGTGCGTGGGGCACAAATAGTTGATGTTGCAACCACAGGATGCTAATTAGGAATAAGTGAATACAAAGGAATGGGCGCCAACAAGTTTTATGCCCAACATGCAGCTTGCAGCTTACCACATGAAACTTAAGTTTTCAACTATGTTATATGCTGCTTTTTACACCCTATATACTTATATATAGAAAATGAATAAAAACGGGAGGTATGATAGTTTCTTTCCAAGTACTAAGAGACAGAGAACTTAGAATGAGAAGAGCTCGCAAAATGTGCTGGAGGACTAAGAAAATTTTCCCATTTTCGAAGTTGCACTTTAAGAAGACGCTGGTTAAAGACAACGATACTCGCGACTTGCTCTGCTGCCAGTAGGATTAAAAACAAGGAAGGTTTAAGGTAAAAATTTAAGGTATCTCTATCTTGAATATTAAGGCCTTGCAATATGCATTAAATTCAGACGACAAAGACCTACTCTATTAAATGTTTCCATCGTATATAGAAGGAAGCTAGAATGTTTCTGATGATGCATGGATGCAGGATATCATTTAGTCGCAAATTCTTGACTAGCGCACTTTAACTAGTTTTTTTGTTTGGTTGGCTCGACAGGACCTTGTTTTGTTGCAGCAAAATCTCAGGGCTAATTTTTTGTCGAGCAATTTATCAGTATATTGACCTAATTGTCTCGGTCTCTTTTTCTCTCCCTCTCTCTCTCACTCTCTCGCTCTCTTTCTGTATTGTTTTTTTGTGTCCAAGCTTGTCCTCAACTTGAGTCCATTTGGCAACTTAAGCCATGACCACTTTGCAACAGCAAAAGAAAAAAAACCTGCTGACTAACGGATTTAGTTGACTTTGTAGCTATGAGCTGGGAGCCAGTTTGGCTGGCCAAATCCTTTGATTTGGGTTTCATTTGCTGACCAATTGCCAGCATGGAATCCTGCTCAACACGTGCCTGTCTTCACTTTGATTATTTGGTATTTTGTGTGTGTATATTTTTTTCTTTTGCATTTGAAATTGTATTTAAAATCAACACGTTTTAAACAAAAGGCGTTGACGTGCACCAAAAGACAAACAAAACATTTGACATTAAGTATGTGAGATTTGCGGGTTTCATGCCCTAACCAAGGGTATTGCGTAAATGTCATACTACATGTAGTAATAGGTTTATAGCACTTCAGCGACTCTAGATGGCTTAAAATGTATATGTTACTTTGTAATCAGCTTCAGTTCAGATAAATATAATAATTCTTATAAGATATTATATCGTAAAATATGGAAAAATAATAATTCAAAACATCAGTTGAAGGTCTAAGTCTTTATCACTTTTATAAATCAATTAATTGCTAAAATATGAAATTTAATAGAAATGTATCAAATGTAATCATCAATAAAGAAAAAAAAAATATTTTTAGCAGTTAGTTTACTGAATGGAGTTTTTAGAACAAAACGAAAATTTTAATTAGATGAGTGGAAGATGCAATTCTATATAGTTAAGACAATATTAACACAAGTGTGTCATGAAAGTCAGATTTTCTTGTTGTTCAACGGAATTATTCACATAAACTTCTTTCTTTATTCAAGATCAAAATAGCATATTTCAGGACTATATTAAAAGAACTTCATTGTATGTATCTACAAGAGTATTTCATTTTCCATGTGTTCGAGCTTTTTTATTTTCGTTTAAATTGTGTCGAAAATACGGCAACACGTGCTATGGTATGTAAATATAACACACATTCACACACATACTCTCACACATATTTCATAGATATGTACACACATAAGCTGTGTCTGTTTGCGCTTCCGTCTGTCAGATACAATAGTTGTTGTTGTTGTTGTTTATGTTCGTCGTCGTTGTAATGATTGCCCCTGCTGCCCTTCCAGCACGGTCACACATCCCAGCCCCCCTTTCTCCATCCTCCATACTCTATGCACGTGTTTCCTCTTCGATATTTGCATTGGCATTGCATTGTTTCCGGAACGGCTGTGTTTTTCCGCATGCAAATGAAAATGCTTTAAACGTGTTTAAATACGAGAAAAGAAGAGAAATAAGTAGATTGTCGGGTATTTAGGACCAGACATGTGTGCAACCAACCAAAAACTGTTGTAAGCACTATTACGAAAATTATGAAAGACCCACAAAATACACAAACATTTTAAAGGGTAAATAAAGCAAAAGAAAGTTAAGGGGCAGACTTCTTAAATGTGTGAAATGATAAGTGAGCATGGAATAAA